GTCTGTTATGATGTCAGCGTGTGAATGAACGTTGTGTTTGTACTGAAGCTTCTAGCATCCAAGCTCACTCACAGATGTGTGTGTCCTTGCAGGCTGAAAAGAAAGACAAAGAGAAGCAGGTTGGTTGGTTTCTGGTCCTTCACCTCTTTCTGATATGCCCTCCGATCTTTTTTTAGTCATTTGGAATGCACTCATTTGTTCACTTTATATTTATTTTTTAAAAAGCTAGTTCGGTAGAAACAGTTTGTCTTTGAGAAAAATAAGATGTCAACAGTTTAGGCTTTCTTTTCAAACATCTTCTTTTCCTTTTCTTTTGTCCCAAGGAGGACGCTAAGAGCAAACAGGTGGGTGCTCGAAACTCATCCTCCCTTTAGAGATCTTTTGATCAACCAGAAGTGGACAAGTAAGGGTTCGTGACTCTTAGAAAGCTTCAGTGGCATCCCTAATAAAGGGTCCTGCAATAAGGGTCTTACAGTTTGTATTGATGTTTGATGTGCTGCCCACTCTGACTAAAGGCCTAATGATCATTTTGCATGCACTGGCTAATTGTTGTAAACGCCGTCAAACATGGAAAAGGAAGCTCATGAAGAACAGAAGCATGACGTGGCACTCACAGCTACCTTCCGGGTAAAAGAGCATTTTTTTTGTATGACCCATCCACCTCCCGCCACCGGTGTGAGGCATGTGTTTGGGGTCGTCGGTCATCGGTGGCACCAAATTACTGCACCTGAAATTGTAATAATCTTCCAGAAGAACCGTAGAGACTAAGACATTAAGCCAAACTAACTGGATCACCAGCAGTTGCTCTTATATTGAAAAGCCCAGAATAACAAAATGAATGTAGGGAGGAAAAGAAAGGGTTATGAGGTAAATGAGATGAACATCTAGGTTCAAGTTTGAACATTTTCTATATGAGCTTTAGTGTGTATGTGAGCCTTGTGTGAGTGGGAGTATGACTCGCCAATAAAGCCTCCTGACCGGGTCAATAGTTCCACTTTGCGGCTGCTGCCCCTGTTGACTCACACATTTCCCAGAATCCAGTTCAAAGAATCATTTCCAAAACACTTGATTTGGCCGTCGGCAGAAGCAGCACAGCTTGATTCAATTTCTTCCTTCCTCCAGGATGAAGCTCTCTTTTCCTTTGAGCTTACTCATTTTGTTTCTGTGTTTTTGTGAAATATAAATTATTGGCTTATCCTTCCCCTTTAGCATATTTTGAAGTCATGCAGGGATGAAAAAGGTGAAAAACATGACTGTAGAGGACAATTGTCTGATGTTTTTTTGTTTTCATTTTTTCTCACTAGTCAAAGGAGGAAGTAAACAAGGTTTGTTTGTCACAATCATCTCCCTTTTTCCTCAGTAGAGCTTTTCCCTCTGATCTCTCACATAAAAGCAACTCCTGCATTTTTACGGTCGAATAGAAACCTCTGTCTTACAGTCAAACTTTCTGTTCAACATCAACACTGCAGGTACGACTTGTAAGACAGTAGAATCTATTTTCCAAACTCGAGAATTAAGCAAATCACGCAGCTGTTTGGTCCCATTTTATTTATCTTTTATCCTAATGTAGTGTGTTTCAATACACGATTTTGGAAGAGCTACAATAAAAGTCGGGGAGTGTATTTTTTTACATTTATAATATCTAATTTGTATGCTCTATTATATTTCCATTGCATTGCAGTTAATCCTCATGAAATGTAGATTATGGATGAGTGAGAAGTTATGAAATTCTGCTGAGAGCGCCGATATATATTTGCATTTATCGTGAACTATGGCAAAACTGTGGGATGATTCTGCTGTCATCTGGCGGCAAATCCATATTCTTTTTATTCCTCCATGTACACACAAAGTACAGCCCGTACTTTGTACAGCCCTACAGTGCGTGTAACAGGAAATATATAAGATATAAGTATCTTATATCTTCTAAATAATTCCTGTTTGGGATGAAGTCAGTGTGCAGCAGCTGAAATAAGACTCATACAGGTGATGTCAGTTTTCCCCTTTGACTTCTAGCACCTCAATAAACCAGAGGCAATAAACAAAGCTTTTATTAAAATCACCCACTCACCATTACCCAACCCACCAGACAATTTCACAAAAACCCGCCCAGAATAAACCCCTCAGACTATTTTTACCTGCTGCATACAACCCTCTGTCTGTGACGTTAGAGTTTGTGCGTAATGTGTGACTTTCTCTTTTACTTTTCTGTCGTCTTTCTTGTTTTCTTTCCCCGCTTTCTGTCCTTCCGAGAAGACTGAAGCCACAGCTGCCACAAAGAAGGTACAGTTGTGTGGTAGAGAGAGATAAGAGAGTCGAACAAAAACCTGTATTACCTGTAACGGACACTTCTACTTCCAGGCTGTGATTCTAGTGAGGAGGAGTGTGTGTGTGTGTGTTTGTGTGATTTTGTTCTTCATTCACTTTCTTTCTCCTCTCAAAGTCTTGAAGAATTGAATTGAGAATGTATAATTCCCCTGAAGTGCATGTTTTTAAATGAAATATGATGTAGAATACATGCATTGTGTTGGCGAAAATGAGTGAAATGAACTCACAAACACTTGACTTCATTAAGTATTTGTCTATTTGCTGTTTATCACTTGTGGCAGAATCCTCTGGATCATTTTGAAGCTGTTAGAAAGTTTATTTTTTCTCTGTTTACTTCCTGCTGCTTCCATTTTATGTGGTGAGCGACGATAAACACATCCTGGACCATAAGTCTCTGTCGTGAGATTAAATTGATACTGGTCTTCTCATCTAACTCACCTAAAAGAGTAAACACTATTAATGGCTAACGTGGAGCACGTGATACCAAATTGTTAGCACCAGTTCAAAGAATCCTCGTCTGATATCTTACCAAACGTTAATCCCCATATTTCATGTGTTCTCCTACAAAGTCCAGCAACACGCGTGTCAATTTCCACTCATTACATGCAGACAGACTTTTCAAAATAAAATTCTGTCTTCACAGGAAACAACTCAGTTTGGTTTAGGCAACGAAACTACTTGGTTAGGTTCAGGAAAAGATCGTCGTTTGTGTTAAAATAACTACAGCAGTGCTCAAGTCACGTGACAAATAAATCTATGTTGACTTGTAGAATCACACGGTGAACCGGCAGCGGCCTCCTGGCTGAAGAGTCACTGTTTGTTGGGATCTCATTATATCTACACTCACACTGCTCTTGATTCATCCTCCATCCGTCTTATATCTGAGAGGATTTTGTATTTTCATTCATCTCTCAAGGACACCTCACACACACACACACACACACACACACACACACACACACACACACCTCTCAAAAGCCTATAAAGATGTTGCCTTTGCAGTTCACATAAACACAGCTGCACACTTCGTTTCTCTGGATTCAGACCAAGAAGGAGGCGGAGCGGACGGTCCAAACTTTCACTCCACTCAACATTTCTCAATTAAATTGCAAGACACTAAACCACTGTCACTTCAAAGTCACGGCCCTCTTTTAGTCCAATTATATGTTCTGGCCGTTTGCCTAACGTCCTCTATCTAATAACACAGTCGCACAGTTATCGACGGCACACGTTCCACAAAGACAATTTGGATGTCTTATCGTGGGATCGTCTAGCCGCTTGGCTTTTGTAACATGTGGTGCGTACGTGAGGTCCGGCATGCTGATGAGCTGTGGGCGGTGTTTTACTGGCTTCATTGAAGGTCTATTACCAGGCTCCTCAAGGCCAGTTTGTCCCGCAGGCTGCATGGCCACCGAAAGCTGCACTTCAAAAATATTGAACGTTTGTGATACAACATGCCGAAAAAATGCACAATCGCTGGAGGTTACGTCCAAATAACATCCAATGTTAACATTAACACTTGGCTGAAACAATGACAAAAGTTGGATTGGATTGTCTAAAACTATTAAGAAGTTTAACTTTCTTTTCAAGCTGAATCATCATCTCGCCTGAATTACCCACAGGGTATTGGGGCAGACCATTGGCCCACAAACAATGGTTCCTGCAGCATGCAGGGCTCACAACACAATAAAGCCATTAAAACGATGCCACAAAGGCAGGAGGAGTGCCTTAAATAGACCCGAGCAGGACATCAGATGCCTGATAGATCATGGGGTGCTCTGCAGATGAGTCTGACCTCTTCGCTTAACGTTACCTGTAATTATTACAGCGATTCTTTGACTTCATCACCTGTCAAATTTGCAGGAAAAGTCTGCATGAAAGTCAAGATAAGGTTTCCTGGTTTGTGATATTTTCACTGCAGAAATCTGGACTATTGGGTTCTGAAAAAGCCACTTCCTCTGCTTTCTGCTTTGAACATCAGCTTCACTTTGCTTCCCACCAGGTTTATTACATTCACCCATTTCAGCTTTCTACTTTGAGACGTCTGTTAACAGAGGAAAGAGTGACAGCCTCCTGCTGTCAAATGAGCTCCACTTAATATTTAAAAAAAAGATTTCAGCCTCTTGTCGTATATTTTGAGCTTCAGGAAGTGGTGTGCTCTTTATAGCTTGAAAGAGCTTTTCACGCGCTGTTGAATGGGTTTGAATGAGCTCCTCATCTTTTTCCCATTATATCTTCTAACTCTCCTCAGCTGAATTCTTGTTTAGTCACGACCTTTTAGCAATTTGCATCTTCGTCAGTATTTCTTTCCTGTTTATACATCACACGCACAAATTAACGCCCATACAGTAAGTCACTGAATCTGGTGTCACAAACTCTCACTCGTCTCGTCTGCACACTCAAAATCCCCCTCCAGAAATGATGTACATGAACTGTACAGTGTTTGTCTTCTTAACCAACGTTCATATCGGCCTCATACATATTTAGTTTGCTGCAAACCGTGTGCACAGTTCTGCTCAAGCATCCGAAAAATGCAGTAAAGAGATGTTTACGTTCTTTAACAGTGCAAAAATAGAGCTCACAAACAAGACAACAGCCTTTTTGGTTTGGGTTATTTATGCTTACCATAAGTCCGGTTTACATTAAATAACCTGTGATCACCTTTCTCCTTGTAGCTGGATATAGAGGCAGCTGACATCCTCAATGAGCTGCAGGTGAAGCTCAACACCTTCCTGGACAACTTCAGCATCGTGTTTGCCAAGAGGTAACACACACACACACACACACACACACACACACACACACACACACACACAGTACTGCATAGTCAGCCCTGCAGAAGTTCTCTTGTCTCAGTTTTCCTCTGTCTCTGTCTTCTGTCCCTTCAGTTTCCAGACTCGTATTAACTCCTGCATGCGTCAGATGGCTGAGATCCTCTACCAGATCAAAGGTCCACCCAACCACAACACTGCAGAGGCAGACGCTGACAACATGCTGAGGCCCCTCATGGAGTTCCTGGATGGGAAGTAAGTGAAAGCATGACACGACAAACACACACACACACATAAATAATATTTAAAATAAGTTTTGAAAATAGTTTTTTCGACATCTGACACACATTTACTTCTCAAACACACACATCAAACATCCAGTAACGTCTAACTTGTTAATCTGCTTCTTTTTTTTTAAAGCCATAATTATCTTGTTTCTGCTAATCTGTTTTTATTTGTTTGTTTTGTAATTGTTGTGTCATTATGTCGACTCTTTCATACAGCCCTTAGTCCACTAATGAAAAACAAAGACAGTGTATTATTGAAGGCCTGCTGGACTCTTGAAGCTTGTAAACTGAACCTCTACCATGATGTTTGTCTGTGATCCAGTCTCAGTATCTTTGCTGACATCTGTGAGAAGACGGTGCTGAAGAGGATCCTGAAGGATCTGTGGAAGATCGTCCTGAGCAGCCTGGAGAAGACCCTCGTCCTGCCTCAGAGCAACGACAGCCTGGTAGGAGCAACCCGAAACTAAACCTCATTGTATCCACGGAAGAGTGCCTGAAAATAAAACCTCATTCTATCCACGAAAGAGTGCCCGAAACTAAACCTCATTCTATCCACGAAAGAGTGCCCGAAACTAAACCTCATTGTATCCACGAAAGAGTGCCCAAAAATAAAACCTCATTCTATCCACGGAAGAGTGCCCGAAACTAAACCTCATTCTATCCACAGAAGAGTGCCCGAAACTAAACCTCATTCTATCCACGAAAGAGTGCCGAAACTAAACCTCATTCTATCCACGGAAGAGTGCCCGAAACTAAACCTCATTCTATCCACGAAAGAGTGCCCGAAACTAAACCTCATTCTATCCACGGAAGAGTGCCCGAAACTAAACCTCATTCTATCCACGAAAGAGTGCCCGAAACTAAACCTCATTCTATCCACGAAAGAGTGCCCGAAACTAAACCTCATTCTATCCACGGAAGAGTGCTTCACAGTATTGTCGAACTCACAAAAAGGATCAAAATCGATGAAGCAGAACCAGAAATATCGTTGTTTTTACTCCTTATGTTTTTCTTCCTTGTCAAAACCCGTCCTCTACTGCAAACATGTCAATTATGAGGTCTAAAACTGGTCCTCACAAAGACAGAAGAGTAAGAGCATGGACACAAGTTAATGGAAAAACAGCTCTATGATGAAAAATCCATATTCCTAATTTCTTTTCTTCTGTCGAGCTGTGAATACTGATGAGAGTAATCAGAGGACGGAGAAGCAGATTGAAAAACACACAATTATGAGAGGACAATATTTGGGCATGTTTTTGCTCATTCGGTACAAATCACACACACTCTGCTTATTATTGCCAAACATTTTAGCCACTTGTGTTTATCTCTGTATTGATTTCCTCATTAATGTATTTTTCAAAGTTGTGTTTTTGTCCTGTGGAAATGGCGCAGACTGTTTTGAAAACTCCTCTTTTTTGGTGCATCAATTTCTGAAAATCGACGGCCAAACATCGACAGTTTACAACACACAAAGTGACCGACTTCACTCACTTTCATATTGTTGTTGTTGTTGTTTTCCTTTTTGTGTCCAGGAGCTCATGAATTAAGTGACTGCAGCAAACAGGTTTATCTAAATGCTCTAGAGTAGCGAAGCACATTACCAAAACCAGTAATTTTGACAAAAACATCACAGTGATGTTTACCGTCGTAAATTAAGTATTAAACTGATTATGAATGGAAGGTATTTAATCAGATGAATCAGTGTATTTGTTATATATACACAGACTTATCTGTAGTGTCTAATATCTGGTATCTCAGCCCCAGTGAGAGCAGCAGCTGTGCTCTGCTGCCGCCTAGTGTTGAAATGAGCTTTGCATGAGTTTTATTTCCTCCGTGAACGTGAAAGTCACTCTGAGTTACTGCCTTGTGTCTTTTGTTTGAGAGAAACGATGAAGCATGAAAATATCCCAATATAAATCCCTCTTCGTCTCCCCTCTCTCTCTCTCTCTCTCTCTCTCTCTCTCTCTCTCTCTCTCTCTCTGCAGGGGGCCCAGCTCCTCACAGCAGCTAAAGGACTGTCCAGTCTCAAGGTAATACACAGGCAGGCTGAAGAAAAGGGCCGTTTGTTTAGTTTCATTTGTTCTTTTTTAACCCGGGGATGGAGCCGGTTGGTGTCGTTCACCTGCGACTCGCACTCAGCGTCATGCGCGGCTGTTTGGGTTTGTATTTCTTCATACACAGAAGTGCGGGACTCTGAGAAAAAGTCTCAGTTATAAATCCGTCTGCTACTTCAGCACCACGGACAGCGCCGTGGATTCATCAACTGATATTTCAGTCACGGGGGCTTTAGATTCTAACACAAACCTCAATCAGATAAAAGGTCAATGATTCAGGCAGACTAGACCAACATATTCAACGAAACAACCGCTCTGACTCTTCACTCTCTCTGCTACTAAGGGAGAGGTGGACAAACGTTTGCCAAAGTGGGCCACATACAGAGAAATATAAGGAGTCACGGTCCAAATATTCACTGATCTGTTTAATGTATTCATATCGTTATGTTTCTGTTTCGTCTGTATTTATTCTTTTTGCGCGCTGCTCTCAGGAGTGAAGTTTGTCTAATGTCTGTGAACTCTGGTTGCTGCAGGGAGGCGGTGAAGCCAAAACATTGACGCCCAAACAGTGTATAATCATCGATGCCGGGCTGGAGACGATCAAGGTTGGTGGAGACCTGCACGTTCACACGACAAGCTGGAAACAACAATGAAACCGTCCATTTCTCACCTCTCTTGTTCTTTCAGCAATACTTCCACGCTGGAGGAAACGGGCTGAAGAAGGCGTTTGTGGAGAAAAGTCCTGAACTGGCTTCACTGCGTTACGCCCTCTCCCTCTACTCGCAGAGCACCGACGCTCTCATCAAGACCTTTGTCACCACTCAACACACCCAAGGTAATCTAAGACACACACAGACACACTGCATATACAGTATATATATATATATATAAGTGTCCTCAACCTTTCTGCTCTTCCCTGTCCTCTCAGTGCATGATGGGATGGGCATCAGAATCACTGGCAATGAGAAGATTCGACCTGATAGGGGTAAGTCCACGACACTCTGATGATGAGGGGCTTTTTTGGGTTCCACATGAAACCATTGAGCTTCTTTTACGGGGTTTCTTGTAGAAAAATATAATGAGATCACGATAATAATAAAAACATGCTGTTAAATCATGTTGATGTTCTGCAGGCTCGGGGATAGAGAAGCCCATCGGAGAGGCCATTCTGCAGATCGACATGATGCTCGGGAAGGAACGCAAAGTCAGCGTCAGAGGTGAAGTTCAAAATACACAAACATTTACAACTGCAAGCCTAAAGCTCTCAAATGAACTTATCGATTAGTTGAATAAATTGTAAAAGTGTTAGTCAACTAAGAATTTCTTTGTTTGAGGACAGCCCTGAACGTAAGTGTACATCCAACTTACGTTCATCAACTGACTCTCTCCCTCGCTCCCCTTCTGTTTTCCCACATCTCCATCCATCCAGTCATCGCAGTGAACGACATGAAGTGGCAGACATCAGGGATGTTCCGGCCTTTCGTCGACGTCTCCATGGTTGGTCCGTTCCTGGCCGACAAGAAGCGCAAGTTCACCACCAAATCCAAGAACAACAGCTGGTCGGCGAAGTTCAACGAGGCTTTCCAGTTGTGAGTTTGAGATCTGACCTCTGACATCTGAAATGTGTTTTGTACGATAAGAGTCTGACCTCTGATCTCCCCCTTTCTGCTCCGTAGTGTCCTGGGTAAAGAATCCCCAGACTGCTATGAGCTCCAGGTGACGGTGAAGGATTACTGTTTCGGCCGGGTGGACCGCGTGGTCGGCGTGGCCGTGGTTCAGCTGCGCGACGTCGCCGACCGTAAGAGCTGCGTGTGCTGGTGTCCGCTCGGGCCGCGCATCCAACCCGACGAGACGGGCTTGACAGTGATGCGCATCCTGTCCCAGCGGCCCGCTGACGAGGTGGCCAAGGAGGTCGTCAAGCTGAAATCTGAAACCCGTCCCGTGGAGGAGGGCAGATGAGCAGAGATGCTTGACTCAAGATCGGAGATTTACTGGAAAAAATGTGGCGCTGACACAGATCATGGTCAGCGTTTAGAGTCAGGGCTTCGTCTGTTGTTTATGAGCGCTGTCATCTTCATCCTCGGTGAACACGGGCCTCTAACGCCTCTGACGTGGAGGTCATCCTTCAAAGGACGCAAGTTTTGTCACAGATATGAAAGAAAGAAAAGTATTTCATTCACATTTTGGAAGGAGATTTTTTCTCAAATGATGAAAAAGAAGCAACTAACAGGACCAATATCTTAACTATCAAGCGACAAAAAGGGTTGAAACCACCAACTCAGAGGGGAAAAATATTTTCAGTTCATTGGAGAGAAACTCTTGAGATCTTCTTCATTGTCTGATAGTGATGACGAGCTATTTTGGTCGTCCGTAGCAAACTAAATCTGCCATCTGTTGGCCATCAGAGCTGCTGATCCACAGCTTTTAACCAAACGTACATTCACTGGAATGAATGGACGGGAATGAAAACCGAATGGACGTTAGCTGTTTGTCCTAAATAACTATGATATGAGCTGAGAGTGATTCTTGTACTGTTTGAGCCTTTGAGGCCTTTTGACTGCAAACAGACATCGGCACCACTGTCGACTCTGGTCCCCAAAAAAATGACATTGAACCAGCTAAAAAGTGTCACAAAAACACATTAAAATGAATAAACGTGATACTCGGCATGAGTTGAGTGTTTAAGAAACAGTTAAGCAGGCAACTAATGGGGACTGCTTAAAAATTTGACTTCTGGAACTTCAGCAAAAGAAAAAAAGTAGAAAAGCTTATGGTTCTTCTTAAAAAGGATCACGTGTTCCTCACTTTTCATTTATCGGCCGCTTCAGGTATTAAGTCCTTTGATTCAAGCCTTTGTGACACATGCAGCACCAGGTGCATCTTACAGAAAGAAGAAGTTGTCCGAATATGTCAAACCAGAGTAAATGTTGTGAAGTTGCAGAGTTTGCTCTCGGAAATCCTGCAGTACATCATAAAGAAGTGTGTCAAGATGCTTTTAATGTGTGTCGCCTATTTAGTGATAAACCTCTGTTTCTATTTTTCCCAGACTGAATATAAAAAAACCTTGAAAAGTAGTCTCATTGAGATATGAATTTCAATTCATCGACAGTCGGTTCTTCTGAATTACGTTGCCTTAAAACAGAACCGTGCTCAGTGGACGGTTCTGTTAAAACATGAATGACATGTAAAGTAAAAAAGCGTTGTTTTTTTCAGGAAGCAAAGAATTATGGGTATAGTAGTTTAGTAGAGAAGAAATGCAGTGTCAGAGGTTTTGAATTTCGGTTTTTGCCAAACTGTGACTGTGGACTCTGTTTACATGTTGACCCGCTCTGAACGGACACATCCAAAAGTTGACAACCTTTTTTTTTTCCTTTGTGTAGGACCAGAAATAGATCTCTAAGAATTTTATTTTTGTGTAGTTTTAAATTGAGAACAAAAGTCTTTCAGCCTTGCCGTGCATGTAGTTTACATACTGCACCAATCATGTGTTTATGAATATGGGATTGGTGTTTTTGCATTATTCACTCTACAAACTAACAAAACACGCAGGCAGGTTGTTCAATTTACTGAAGTGTAACTGGGTTGGATCCACACTTATTGTATGTTTACTACGTGCCAAGGAACGCAAGTGTTCAGCGAGCCGTGTTCTGTTGTTAGCGGACAGATGTGGCCATTGTAGAAGTCCCAATTCTCACTGCACGTTTGCCAAAACTAGCTGCACTTTGGCTCCAAACTCAAGAGGTTCCTGGTGGAATTTAGATGAAACTAGTTCAGAGTTTGTTCTGCTGCATTAAACTTAACAAACATTGATCTTCAGTATACGTTACATTACAATGGCCACAGCTGTAGTGACAACTGAGCTCTTGCACTCTGTTCAAAACTAACTGTAAGTTTGTACTTAGCCTACGACCAGAGCATGTATTTATTGTACACAAAAGTACTAGAATTGTGATCTTTTTCATGTATGTACTGTGAAATATGGAGATTGATCAAATGTATGTAAAGTAGTTATCATTATTCTAATGTGACATATGTTGAATATACTTGTAACAATATTTTGTACATAAAATATTTATGAATCAATGCAGTGGGTTGTGTCCTTTGTCTGTTCACGTACAGTACTCTACAGTACTTTCCCAAGACTCAGATCTGGATATGTCAAGTCTCTCACCAGTGTGTTTTTAATGAACAGAACAGACCTCAGACCAGCCCTGATCTATAGACTTCACTGCATAAAAAGTCAAAAACAGACCCCTAAGAGCCCTTTTTCACAGCAGACCTTTTCACTTGTCCTAGTAGTAGTACAGGTGTTTCTAGTAACATTAACACGTGTGTCTGCTCTAACATGGCAGCTTTGCAGAGCGTCCCCTTGAGAAGGTTTCTGTTTTAATGGAATACAGTGAAAGCCTCTAAAACAGCAGGTAGACGTAATAGTTAATAAAATATTGTTGTGACAGATATGTCACATCGGGCTTTCAAACTGTCTCAGAAAAACCAATGTGACGTATTTGTCACAATAAGAAAAATAGTAATGAGCTGCTCAGTTGATTTAGCTGATTCATGTATTTTTAATTAAAATATGTTTGTTGAATTCAAACGTTATTTAAACAACTATAAACATAAACTATTGTCAAATGTATTCATTATGAGTCAAATGAATTATGAATGAAAAATGTACTTATTAGTAAATACAACACAAACAAACAAGATATTATACATTTATTTATTTATGTATATTTTGGTCCCATTTCAAAGTAATCTTTTTTTGCAGTATGAATTAGAATTAACGATGCGGTGTTCAGGATGCACTGAATCCAACGAGAAGACATCTTTGTCTTGTAAAACAAATCTGAAAAAGATTTTTCGGTTAAACTTAAACAGAAATAAATATTAAATTTTTTATACGTGTTTCTATACGAGCCCGGAGCCTCGAGTGAAGTGAATGCGGTGAGAAACCCTTTAACCTGAAGTAACTGAAATCCTCTCCTCTTAAAGTCTCACTCTCCAGTTTTGCAGGCTGTTCGCCTCGTCCCTGGTTAGTTTGCATTACAATCAGGCGAACCAATCGAGACCGATAGAGAGATAGTTGACATAGAAGTCACTTTTACTGTTTCCAAAGGGGGAAATTAAAAAAAACACACATTAAGCAAATTGTCAACGCCTTTATTCACGTATCTTCCAATTCTTTTGTTCTTAGTATCTTTATCATATAAGATATTTATCAACAGTTTGTTTGGACAGTCCAGACAGTGAGGCTCTCAGCTCATTATCTTTCCTCAGGATTTACCAGGTTGTTCCCTCAGTACCGTTACAAATATAAATGTGAATAATCCTCCATTCTGACGTGATTTACATTCAGTTATCGTCTGGTGAGCGTAAATATTTTCATTAACATTCACTGCAAACAAATCAACATGATTATTATGTAATACTGTATATTGTACATCTGATAAATCTGAGATACATAGTTTTTCACTTAATATTTATAATAATAAATATCGTTTCAACCCATTTTTCTGGAAATAAATTATTGAAGAAATAAATATTTTAAGGAATGTTTTCAAATCTGGAAAGAGACAATCAGAGGCACATCCAATAAGCAATGAAAGTTATTAATAATAATAAGAATAATAGTACAAAACTTATCATAACTCATTTTTAAATAAGCTTCAATGTGTAGTTATTATTGAAAACGAAATGTTCAGTGTGTGACATGAATTTCCATTAAACATCTTCTACATTCATGTTTCCTTCAAATCGCAAAATAGCAACAAAACGTACTTTTATATAAATTAACTGAAATGCTGCTGATTGTCATGGCAAATATTTATGCCATATACATAGAAAATAAACATCTGTCGAAAAAGTGTACCTGTGTTTAAAGAAAGTGAATTACTACGTCTCTCTTGTGCTACTTTTATAGTGGTGGTTGTGTATTCTAAACATCATACGTTGCTTTGGTAGCACTGACCTGAGTCACTTGGTGGCTGTTTTGAAACATAATGTGAAACTAACACTGGTCGACACATAAGTGAGCACTGCACTCCTATAACATCGACAAATACAGTTTTGTTTTGGTTCCTTGCATTCTCGTTCCTCGTCAAAACCTGGCGCCTACATCACCCACAATGCATCTCGACCACCATCAGCCGTGTTATGCTATTGGTGGCTAACGTAGCCGCGGGCCTCCTGCTGTTGGTGAGCCTCTAATTGTTGCGATGATACGCTCTTGAGGTAAAGTTGCTACCTGCTATCTGCGTTCTAGCAAATATAAAATGGTCCAACAGAACTGGATACGTGCAATGTGAAGCTACACCATGTGGCCAGAAGTATGTGGACACCCAAACATTGCACCCATGTGTGATTTGTTGTCCAGAATTATCGCACACTTTTGGTCAAACAGTCAGGTCTTAAAATGGGTTAAATACTTTTGTGTGTGTTTGCAGCATGTTGTAGTTCCTGTTCAACTCAAGTTTCTCAGGCTGTGCTTAGTGGCGGCTGAACGCTACTGATCCGCCAACGTGAACGTGGCACATTAGGTCTTCTTCTCGGTTATGATTGGCTGTTGCACGCAGCTTGCTCGTGGTTTTTGGACCCCCCGTTGGTCTGTGGGGACTGTGGGGACTGCAGGTGGTCCGGCAGCAGGACCTCAACGCTAAAGCTGATTCTTTTGGCCTGGAAGATGCTGTAAGTGTTGTCAAATCTCAGGACATCTGGGGAAGACGAACGGAACGAGATATTTATTTAACTTTAATCTAATAATTACAATTCATGAAGCCTTGTGAGCACCAGCGTGTGCTGAGCGTCGGGTTACTCACAGACTCCCGGGCGCTCACAGGTCAGGGATCCGTCCTCTGGTACCAAGTGGGAGTTGTACCGCTGGCTGGGCACGACTTCATGCATCTGAGACGCTTTCTTCCACTCGCCCCGTTTAGCCTTCAGAAACACCCCGAAACCGATGTCTGCACTCTCTGTGGCAAACTGCCACCTACCGAGAGAGGAACGAGGAAAGACTTTTCAGATTACCAAACATGGTGTCATGCACAACATTTGAAAACACCTAAAAATCCCTAAATTGTGTTGTTAACATCACGTGACGTAACTTATCTGCCCGAACATTAAAGTGTTGTTTAACCAAGACAGATTTTTCACAGTCGAACTTAACTGAGCCACATATTTATACTCAAATATGTACACTATATGTGGAGCAAATTTTAAAAACTTTTTTGGGTTTATTTACTTTTCCAACACTTCTCCAGGCCTGGAAATTGTTATTTTCAAATTCCATGACTTTTCCAGGTTTGTCGTGACCGTAAGAACCCTGGCATCTGATAAACTTAACTTGTTTACATTTTAGTAGTGTTAAAACAGATGAACTTAAAAAAAAAAAGCCTTGTTTGGCAGCTGCAAAAATGATTTTATCACTAAGATAAAGCATCATTTTCTTTCATCACAAATTCAGCTCTTATTCCGCTTTATCTGCTACTGCGCCGCTAAATGCATTGAAATGCATTGGATGTGTTTTCTGTACTTCATCCCATGAATTTGATTTGGTTTTTCCAGCAATAATCAAAACTGCTAATTAGAGTCATCGATGCTAACTACCCTTCTTCATTGTGTGAAAATATGTTATGCACGACCCAAAGTGTCACAAGATAGAGCGGTTTGTACTTGGTGTAAAGGCTGGTAAAACTGTTGCATCCATCTGACCTGAGGACGCAGCCCGGGAACAGGATCTCGTAGTCCATCTGTTGGGAGGAACCCCGGCTGACGGTCATGCACTGCTCGTAGTCCACCTTAACGTGGTCCCGCACGTAGTAGGAGGGGGGAACTGGGCCCACGTGGTTTATCTGCAGCCGAGTCCAAAACATACACAGAGTTAGAGATACAGACGTCAAAGAGTTATTAGTCATGTGAAATGTTGAAAGGAGAGGGGAGGGAAAAGAGAAAGCCATCACTTACTGTGACTTTGTCTGAATGCTTCTCATTTTACAGCTTTTGTACAAAAAAAAAAAGTCTCACTTTTCCAAAGTTTATTCACATAAATATGAAACCAATCAACTGTGTTCCCAGTGCAGTACAGTGCAGTACAGGAAGCAACCAACAGAGGGCCGTGAGTGTCAGTTAAATCCAGCAGGTGATAAATAACATTAAATATATATTACAGACATGGTTGCTGTTTAAGACCTGTCTTGAGTATTATTATTAAGTAAGTCGAAGGAAGCCGAAGTGAAACCACTTCTCTAAAAGTCTTGCAGAAATGTCAACTTTAACTGAACCGTTATTTGGAAACTGTTAACCGACAAAAATAAAAAAGAAAGGCATTACTAAAAGAACGAAAAACACATATCGTCCGTCACAGAGCAAAACATCATCAGGCATCTCTCAGGCTGATTGTTTTGTTTCATCACATAAATTCTGCAGATTTGACTAAAGCTGAAGGAGGAAAGGTCAGAAGAACCTCACATGTAAAAATGCATAAGGCTCAACAGTTTTTAAAGCGAGCAGATCATAAAGATTTAAATGTTTTCCTGCTGCACAGATCACAGCAATTTAAAACGAAATTATATTTGTGTCTAAGTGACTAATGGGGACAACAACTCTCTCTGTAAGACAACTACATTCCTACGAGCTAACCGAAATAATGCAGTACAACGCCAAGGACACACAGGTAGCTAAAGTAAAAAAAAAAACAAGACAACACTTTGAGGCTGAGCATCTCCATTCCTTGAATCTTGAATTTCTCTCTTCCTGTTCCTCATCTTTCCTGGGCCCAATTATTTATCTACAGAAACAAACGCAAGGTCAGTTTTCTTGTCTCGCGTATGAACTAAGAGTGCGACTACTCAAGCTGCACGTGTTGCTCGGTGCTAAACTGCCGGGTTTGACCGCATCTCTCTAATTAGAGCTTTTGCCATTTCTACGCAGCGAGGCGGGGATGCAGCGGGGATGAAGTCTGCAATTTCCTGTGAATTGTCTGCAAATGTCTGTCATTATAATTCATACAGCAAACAATCTGTTCGTCCCACAAATTGCATCCTTTTTTGCATGACTTCCTTCTCACACATGTATACCTCTGGCAGAGAGAAGCTGTCTCCGTCATGTGTGCAGCTGTATTGATTCATTCTGCCGGCCCAAAATAGCCCTTTGTTGTTGACCTGCTGTGATCAAACTGGCTCTTTCATCATGCGTTACAGGATCCTGGCCACAGCGTTAACATTTTATATTATATACATCTCATTCACTGCGTTCAGTTTGATCCGTTCGTAGCCTGAATGTGACGTTGAACTATTCCTTTTTAGGCAAATTATTCCTTTTTATTTCATGCCTGGCCGTGACAAAACTGCTTGGAGTGGGACCTTGTGTGAAACATGGTTTGTTAGTCAAATGTAAACCCACAACGTTTCATGTGCACAGCATGCATATTAGCCAGACGGTCTCTCAGCAAAGCAAAGCTGAAAGCTGCCAAACTACATGAGCACAGGATGAAAAAGCAGTGAAGGGAAACTACACAAGTCTATGAAAACAGAGTCTATATATATATATATATATATATATATATTATCTTTTGCTTGAAGTAATTGTAGGATTAAATAACACTTGTATCTACTTTCCATCCAAATGGAACTCTAAATTAACTCAATAATACTAAATGCAATAATAATATAAAAATAGTAATAATCCAAGAGTTAAAAAGCCCACACTAACTGTAACATGGCAGCTGCCAAAGCTTTTGGTTTCTCATGAGACAAAACTAAGATGTTAGTGAATATAAAGACTTCAGACAACATCCAGGCGTTATAAAACTACTGGTGCAACAACCAGATTTTCAACTTGATTTTAAACGCAACTTAATATATTCAACTTCTAGAGGCAGACACCTGTTTATTTATCAGTAATGTCTTTTATATCTTAACGTCATAAACTAGTCCTTTCAGGTAACTCTCAATAAATCCCAGGGGATATATCCTCATGAATGTGTCTATCAGCACATGTCCAAGTATTAACAGTATCTCAAAATAATTATGCTGCATCTGCACCAGATACTTGGCTCCTCCACCTATTTAGTACCTAAAACAACCAGCACCCATGGGTGTGCCGTCTGGCTTGGATTCACTGGCTCACCTTGGTCCGACAGCGAGGATCTCCATCAGGATCCGTGAGTTTGCCCCCGTATATCATCGGCAGCTCCTCTGCATCGATGTACTTCAGTAAAACCTCCTGCCAGTTAGCTGGAGCGACAACAACGGGTCATTTCATCAGAAAGGAGGGAGCTCAAAGGGTTTCGATCGGGTGAAATAGTCTGCAAAAATAAGACGTCGCGCCTCACCCCCGAGGATGTAGATCTTCTGTCTCGTGTTCTCGCTCAGGAAGTGCTTGACGAGGTTGTAGGCCACGGGGAAGAGTTTGGGTGCTGCAGGAGGAAGAGTTAAAAAAGTGATGAGTAAACGTTAACCAGTGAAAATTAAATCTGGCTCTTTTAAAAGAGGATATAACGATAGAATGACGAATACAAACACACAGGATTTACCTTTTATGACAAACAGCCTTTTCAAGCCCTCTGGGTAGTTTTCTTCAAACATCTGGAGGATCTGAAGACACAGAGGAACAAGTACTCTATCTGGAACAGTCTGCTTCTCTTACTAGTTTTTTCAGAAGTGCATGTCCACACTGTGTGTGTGTGTGTGTGTGTGTGTGTGTGTGTGTGTGTGTGTGTGTGTGTGTGTGTGTGTGTGTGTGTGTTTACCTCTCCATATGTTTCTATAGCAGGCTTCCATAAGTGCTTCAGACCCAGACCTTCTACGTCGTAGATCATGGTGATTGACTCCACGTTCCTCTCAAGCTGGTGACAGAAAGACAGGCACATTTAATCTGTGAGACGAAACGATAATGTATGAAATATAAAATAAATGTGGTCATTAGTAGAGCAAGCTGGTTGTAAGTGTTTATTCATGGCTCATTCTGGGAAATAATACTTATTAAGAGTAATGACATCTGATGGAGACAAAATGAATAACAATAAAACAGACATATTTTCTGACAACCTATCCATGGAGATAATACGTATAATATACATATATATATATACATACATACATACATACATACATACATATATACATAAAGTTGCACGTAGCACTTCTTAATCTTAAACATTTGTGTCATGTTTTTAACACATTTTGCGCTGCTCCAAATTAAAAGAACTTCAGAAGTAGCGTTTGATTTTATCAGTGGAAAACTAGAACCACTGCTCAAAAAGTTCCGTTTTTAGATAAAGGAAAATAAACTCTACCGCCGTGGTGTCCAACATGTTTGGGCTGGGAACCATCTAATAACAGGCCATGTGTACTTGGGACATGCCCGTCCATAAGCTGCGCTTAACTCAATCAAAGGGTGGTGTTTCCTTCTCACATTGTTCCATTTGAATCCTTTTTTAAAAGCATTAAGAGGCAAAATTACACTGTATTTCACAATAAAGATTAAAGAAAAGTCCTACTTTTGTGAGGATCATTTCTTTCATTATGGTCCTGCACAATTAATCACCCGGCAACTTCTTCTCTTTGATTAATCTCTCAACACCTTGACTCTTGACTCCCTGATGTTTGTTATAATGGACCCGTGATCCTGGTTATAATCCTCCCACTTCTATACAAACACCACTACGACTCAGACAAAGACACATTTTGAGTATCAAGCGTGATCAGGAGGACAACTAGGTCCTGTCGTCGGTGGTCTCTTACCCTCTGGGACTGGAGGTTACAATCCTTCTGCAGGGCCTCACAGTCTCTGATCTTGGACTTGATGAAGTCCTGCTTGGAGGCAGACAGGAAGAGGCCTTTGGGATCCACCGGTCCGATGATATCGTACCAGATGGGACAGCCTTCGCGATCGTGACCACACATCCCTCCTGACAGATACTTCTCTATCACCTGCAGACGGCAGTCATTTGAAATGGTTTTCGTCAGTCATGTACTGGAATATTTCATGAAGAACTTCTTAGGACATCCCTACTTAAATGACTGTTAAGTACACCAACCCCACTGTAGGTTGTGGTTTATTAAGTTAAATGGTTTTTTGACCTCTGGTGGACGCCAGTCGGTGAGTATTTCGTCTACTTTTCTCTGTTTCCTGAACTCCAAATGCTGGAAGAAAAGATGAATGCATGTTAAGTTCAGCAAGACCACTCAAATCAAATGATTAATAATATACAATACATACATCAAAACATAGGTTTTTTTGTACTTTCTGGATAATAGACTGCTTGTTCAGTGGCACAATGTGGTGATTTAAGTGGCTTAGGAGGTTTCAGACAGTATGTGATGTAAAACCTGCCCCGTCAGCAGGAAGGGGATCAGTTATGTACCGCTGTGTAAACACTGCAGTACACGCAGACATGCATACACCCCAACACATACTTACAGCCTCAAACACACCAGCAAAGGGGGAAAGAGATGTTTCAAATAGGCTCACATACAATTTTAATATATTTTACTGGCTTGTTTTATTCAGTTAACTGAACAAAAAGCTGTCTAAAAAGTAGCCTCTGCTTACGTTAGCTTCTACATGCGGTTTGGCTCATTGGTGGATTAGTGTTAGCAGTAGGAAGGTGTGGTTATTGATTGAAGGGATCACTAAGAAAATGATGGGTTTCCTCTCAAACACAGGATGGTTGAGACCTAGGATTAGGTAGAGTCAAATTATAGGCGTGTATAAAGAGAACCGCAGCGTTGGAGGTGGCGCCCTGTTCATTCCTCTGACAGTTGCTCGGTGGCGCATGAAGCAAAAAAAGTTTGACTTCCGAGTATAAACTTCAGATAAAAATACCCAGAACTTCTAACTAATCTTGCAAATCAATGAACCCATTGAGCGAGCACACTAGCGTTTCCTTCAAAGGACCAGTGTGTAGGATTTAGTGGCAGAAATGTAATATAATATTCATACACTATGTTTGAATTAATGTATAATGACCTGAAACCAAGAATCCTCTTTTATTCCTTCATATTCTACATATAAGTGTTTTACTGAAAATAATACATTCAGATGTAACCTCTTGTTTTTGATAAGTAACTGTGATTTAATTACTTTTTTTTTCTCAGTAACTGTAACGCATTAGTTCTTTTTTTTAAATGTCCATACTGACCGCAGTTTGGCCACCTATGCTTTAAACGAATGCCACCGTTGATTTGTGGAAGTAGGCAGCCTTTTCAAACTATAACAACTTTACATGGCGACAATATATCGGGGTGCGCGTTTGTTCTTCTGCCACCTAGTGGACACGAACCAGTTAATGCAGCTTTAAGTTCGGTGGCTGTAAACCTTCCTCTGTCATTTTAATTACTCACTTGATCCCTTTTTATCTGCATCTTATCTCGTCAGGCTGCGATGACTCAGTTTCTCTTCTCTAATCTGCAGCCACTCCTGAGCTGCTGAGTCTGTGCCGGTACTAATTGCACTTTCACACACATCAGTTAGTAAAAAGAGGAGGCATTGGGGTTGTACTTCGGCTTTCGATTCAGGACGTGATTTGTATTGAATTACTACAAGAGAGTCACACACGCAGGTACTTGAAAAATTTGTCCTGTCCGACTCAATAGAGAAGCTGAGCGCGTTACCTTTCGCAGCATGGCCTCCGACTTCTGGATGTTGAAGTTTCTGGCTGAAAAAGAGAAAGTGAAAAAGAGGCTGAGGTTAGGATTTTTCCAGGTGTACGACACCAAACGTAAACAAAAGCCATGGCTAACCGTGACAAACTGGTGTTTCTTTGGCAGGGAATAAGGCATTTTTAGGTGACGTTAATTTAATGTTTTGTACATTGAGGCACTAGTTGGAGTGTCAAAAACCTTATGTAAAGCTCTTAGACAACCAACAGAACAGGTGGCAACCTTATGTGAAATGAATAAACTAATAAATAAATGTCAACAATTATAAAAGAGCCTACGTGGTACCACCTCCGTCTACAAGTGACACATTTTAAGAAATACTAAAAATACCAGGGAATAAAGAAATAAAGGATGTAAGAATAAAAGGAAATGTATCCTTTTTAATAGTAGTGTTTGCACATGCACCAATGCCTGGTGCAAAGTATTTTCTATTGTATTATATAGAGAATATCTTAAATTGTATAATTGTAGCTGAAACCCTCTGGGAATAGAACTCCTCTACCGTAACCTATTAAAACCAGTGTGTCAGTATGACTGATCCAGGCTGTGGACACACACGCTTCACTGTCTTATTTCTCCATAAGGTGATTATCTCTGCAGCTGGCAGTCTGGTGGAGAAGCACTGAAGTGAGACTTACAACTTACTCCAGCAGTGGATTACACTCTACCTAATGCTTCAGTCGAGCACTAGGACACGGTGACTTTCAGTTACAAAGGCACAGAGCAGATTCTGGCAGATGACTAGGCTGTGTATTAGTTTGAGTCAGTAGCAAGTTTTAACTACTACTAATACACGCTGCTCTGGATGGATAGATCTCCTTCAGCTTCTTAACACAAAACCTCAGGATCCTTTTGTATAATAAAGTTTTGCGTAATTATATTAGATTTCGAACAGACGGTGGAACAGACATATCAGTGTTCCTTCTTAGATAACCGACGGGTGAAGATTTGATGATCTGCATAACGTTATCTTAAGCACTGATAGAGGTTCATAATGTAGCAGAGGGCAATACGAGGGCAAACCCAGTCAGTTTTATCTCACACACCACTGTTTCAGCTTTCATAAAACATGCAGGGAAGGTGCACTTGGTCACCCTGACAGTTCTTCTGTAGGTTTCACACTTTTAGAAAGATTAAAACAGTTTGTCTCGGCAACTCCCAAAATCTGCAGTTCCTCAAATGGCCACTTGAGGCAAAGAAAACGAGTCAATCCCCAAAGTCCCCGATGTTCAGATGCTAAACTCTAGTCTACAGCATGAATAAATATGTTTACAGCCTGGTTCAAAAAATGGTTTTGGTCTCTATAGCTAATATCCCCTTTGGTGACAACTGTATGAGGGGTTAACTTTTATCTAACTGACCCGTTTAAATTATATTAAGGTTTAAAATTTGGCATAATTGAAGGTCTTCGGAAACCTACGGGTGACGTCACGGGAACTACGTCCATATTTTGTACATTCTATGGTCAAGTCCAAGTCAAACTGCACGCATGTGGGCATGATTTTCAAACAAAAAAAAAACAATATCACCCAAACCACCAGAAGTCTGTCTCACTGAACAAAATGTGAACTGCGGTCCACAATACTTTATCCTAAAGTGCTCAAGTACAGACTGAATTGGTGTCTCTGTAAGTGGAGCTCTTCAGAGACAAATACTGCACACACCCAGTTGGAGAAAGGGTTGGGAAGGGGAGGAGGATGATTGGCCTTTAGTACAAGACTCTTCTTCAACAGAAACAGGTTCCAACTGGATCCAACACACTGTTGACTTACATTATTTCACTCACAATAGAGCAGTAAACATGAAACCTATACACGGGAACATAAACGTCTACACCCCGTGTTCCCTCAGGGCATATAGATCGTAAAATCTGATAAATTATACACTACATTCATGAGTTCCTTCTCTCTGCTGCCAGCCACAAGTTCACCTGAAATCACTTCTTGAAACCTTCTATATTCGCTTTTTTAAAAAGCTACTATTTCATAGACAAAATGCAGTGTTGAATGAAGTGTATATATCTTGAACAAAGAGAGAACAGCTCCAGCTGAGTTCAGAGCCTATTATCTGTGTTTTGGCTGGTGTGAAGTGGCAATAGAAAAGGTTTAACTCAAGTAAATGTAGACTGCATAAAGTTTAGATTGGTTCCCTACAGAGTGCTACAGGAATGAATCCTAACACCCAGAAATTAGTAAATATTGTTGCACTTCAGGTTCCCTTGTCTTTAAGTCAATGATCTTTTTAAATGTGTTTTTGGTTAGATGGCTGGAATAATGTCTGTGGATTTTAATGTTTTGTTCTACGATATATAAAATACGTCAGTAAATACCCCTCTGGTGAATTTAAAAAGCTTTTACATGCCTTATAAAAAGGCGGTTGCTAACAAGCGGTAAAATAAGACTACAAAATAACATCACATCGACTAGTCCGCCTTTACAGCCTCGCTGTGCAACGTTAACTTTTTACTTCTGCCGATTTGAATTCAGCCTTCAAAAATCATTAATGTGGTGCTCATTTGTGAAGATTATCTTCATTGAACGTTTGTTCACCACAAAGTTTATTTTCAGCAATAATAAATAATCCTATTGGCTTTTTGTCAAGGAAACCAGCGCGATGCTAACTTTCAGGGGGTTGGCCTACAAGAATACTTCATCCTGATCTAAAAGCCTCGCTTTCACTCGATCTCCCGGGAAACATCAAGGCTTCATTTACGGCACAAAGGAAGTGCGTCAACCAGTGTGCAACCAAAACAGGAAGTGGATATTGCTTTTATCTTCCCAGTTGCTATCGACAGCTATCCCCAGTTAGCAAAGAGTAGCAATGTAAGTAAAAGTTGTCTGTTTTATAAAGACTTCTTACCAAACATTGATTACAAAAGACGCTATTTCTTAGATACAAATACTTTTAGAATCACAAGTTGTACTTGGACACAATGCAGAGTTGAATTTGATCGAAACATTTGTTCTGATCTAGATTATTTTAAGGTCAATCATTAGTGCTCACTGTGGGCCACCTCAGGCTATACATCGTTAGCTTCAAATCAATTAGCTGCACTGAGCTATAGTCACACAGCTTGAAGGGGAATCATCTTTACGAAAAAGAGAAATAACTTGAACCTCTCAGAGCGTACATTTACCAAACACAGACCCCTTATTGTCGTTTAGTAAAGCTTCATTAAAGAGAACAATACACCTCTCTCAACTCTTCTTATGAAACTTATTTTTGGAGGAAACGTTCCTGGAGCAGCAGAGTCAGAGAGTCCTGACAGACCGTAGTGCGTCTTTTAATGCGATTAGCTCTGGATTAACCTGAAACACAGAGCGCTAGCCCTCTGTAGCTGCACTAATCAGGACAAGGCCTCCTTTAATCACTGGCTCCACATTTCCTCCAGAGTATGAACGTGTTTACCAGGTTAACTTTTAGACCTTTTTTAATATCAAATATAATGTAATTGAATACCTGTTGTACTGCTCTTACTGGCAAAACTATTTCACATTTGGTTTAAAACCCGACGTCTTCCATGGTTTTAACCGCTGCTGAATAACCAGCCGCTTGGTCTTTGTAGTTGTGTTTGGAGCATCCTGTTTGGTCGTTAAAACCACGCGAGTCTCTTTCTCAACTGCTGCAAACAAAGTGTCCACATGTGTTGCATCACGTCCCTTTATGTAATCAACCACTGCAGCGTCTGCTTTTTACAACGACACAGACAGATTTTCTCTGTGAATGCATGCAAATGACTATAAAGGCAAATTATCACACGTTTTAGCATAAAGGGAAAGGATTGTGGGAGAGGTTTTGCTTCTTTTGTGTGTGTGTGTGTGTGAGTGCAAGCTGTGGTTAAGGAAAAGCTGCAGGTGTGTTTTTTACGTTTCTAAACTCACCTCTGAGCCAGCGTAACAAGAAGTGGTCATGCTGTGCAGGAAGTTGAGGAAGAACGTCTTGTATCCTCTTTCGAAACTGTAGAGGAAGGAGAGAAGAAGAGAGGTGTGATCAACATGTTCTGCTTCTGAGGATTCAATACTAGGAAGAGACTTTCAGGGAAATGTTTACCCTCATCTTCAAAGTTCTTTTTAAATAAATACAGTACTTTTCTTTGTTTGAAGCCTCTCACTCATTTCAGATTTGTGGATTTTTATTTCCTAAAACTGCTGAAACTTGTGACTTTGTGACTAATTATTATGCGATGTTGCGCAATGTTCAACAACAGATGCCTGTAAACATTTTTTTTGTTGCATGGGTGCAAGGGGTTTTAAAACTACACTACATGGACAAAGATTTGTGGACACAGGAGCATCAGGGCTGCACGATAATCTGCCAGTTTTTTACTTGATTCATCCCTCAGCTTGGCCCAAATTGACATATTTACATCGCTGGTTTTGTTGGATATTCAAAACCAGCAAATATTACAAACACGAGAAGCTGCAGCCAGTGAATTGTTACTTTTGCTGAAAAAATAACAGTGATTCCACAACCATGGGCACTAATGTGCTGCTTTACCAGCCTCCACTCAGACTTTACACCAGAAGATGAACCTGGCTGCAGGGATTCGCTCCCATTCCGACACAAGCGCGAGTCATTAGTGAGCTGTTGTGCAGCAAAGCCTTGGTGTCGGTCAACATTTTCAATTCATCCTAAAGGTGTTGGATGAGATTGACATCAGGCCAGTCAAGTGCACGGGGACAAAAACTGTCACCACAAAGTTGTCAGTGTACATTGTATCATTACAATTTCCCTTTATTTGAACCACAAGGCCTACAGCAAACCTTCAACAATAATGGTGAGAGGCGCGTCCACACAGTTACTATGTAGTTTATTCCCCTTATGTAAAAATAAAGCAAACAGACATCCCCTTAAGTTAGACCAACTTAAATGAATCACAACAAACACAACAATTCATCACATATGAATCATATGAAAATGTGGAAGTGAACGACGAACAGGAACTCATATTCTTAAAGCACAGCCTTTTATAACAGGTTTATGTGGTGCAACTAATTACTTAACTAATGGCTAATAAAATCATTTTAAATGGCTTAAATGGAAAGTAGCCTAATTGTAATGCAATAATGCTGAAAAAATAGTTTAATTGATAAATAACAGACTGAGATGAGGCCGTATTTATGTCTCTAAATCAGGGGTCTTCAATGTTTTTCAGGCCAAGGACCCCCAAACTGATAGAGAGATGGAGCAGGGACCCCCGACTATATATATTGTATAAAATTGTGTTTTATATTAATTAAATGGGCCTAGTGCCGTGTATAAACATACCTCTTTATTGTGCATTCAGTACTAAGCTATTCAAATAATACACAGGTTCATATATTCATGTTTTCATTTTAAACAGGTACAGTGAGTAGGGAGGCCGTGCCACTGCCATTTATAAACATACCTTGTCAACTGATACCAATGCCAATATCAACATTGTCTGTCAATTGCATGATAATCATTCACACTAGCTATTCAAACTGATGTTTTCATTTTAAACGTGGAAACGAAAAATGAGTGATGGCCTATTAGTACCACTGCCATGCATAAAGATACCTGTTATCTTTCATACAATACTGAACTATTAAAATAATGGACAGATTCATGTTTAGAGAATTGTTTTTATTTTATTTTCTAATCAACCAAAAATTCCGCGAACCCCCTGTTGAAGACCTCTGCTCTAAATCATTTATTAAGCAGAAATATCAAAATATCGAAGGGTTAAATGGGTGATTTTGACATTACATCATCGTAAAATATGTTTTATCTTTAGGTTTAAGACTGTTGGTCGGAGATAATGAGAAATCTGAAGACATCACGTTGAATTTGAGAACTTGTAAATTAAAATGTAATTGAATTATTGTTTCCCTTAATTCTCAGTGGAAATTATTAATGCAACATTTAATCAATAAATCGATTACTGAAGTGACAAAAAGAATAATCTCTAATTAACTTGACAATACTTGCTGGTTTCAGCTCCTCGAATGGAACGATTTGATGCTTTTCATTGTCTTATACGAGAGAAAATTAACATTTTTGGGGGGATTGGACTGTTGGTGGGACCTACCAAGCTATTTAAATATATTACATTGTATAAATTATTACTGTGGGGAATTTTAATGACAATTTTTCACTATATTCTGACATTTTACATACAAAATATATATTGAAAAATTAAGAAAATTAGTATGACAGTCATGGCTTATAAATGATCTATAACCTTAATTATTAATTTACAAATAAAGATTGCCTCTATTAAAATGAACTGCCAGACAGATTATTACATAACAGTCGTAGGGATACCAAAAAAAAGATCATTTCTAGAGATTTAGAGATACCAGTATGAAGCACAGTTGTTATTATGAATATTATTATAGCTAACTTTACCTGCTCCAGTGCTTCAGCCTGTTTAGGACTGAGGTCTCCGACTCTTCCGCTCATGTCTGCAGCGGCTGGAGGATGCGGGATGAAGACGGAGCTCCTTGAAAGTCAGACAAACAGACAAGACGCACCCACAGACAAACAAGCACCGTCACCGTTAACCGTTGACAGGCGGGGTTTCTGTCCTCAACGTTGATGCACATTTGTGGCTGCAGTGTCTCGTTATCCTCGTTGTCAGCTGCCTGCAGGTGATTACAAAAAAAAAAGTAAACACGACACCTCGTAACGCCCTTAAAACAGAGCCCCGGTCCAACCGGCTGACTAGGCCAAAGATAAGATGATGGGACAAGAGCGTAACTCGTGTCAAAAAAGGAGGAACCAAAAACCGAGGAGAACTCTTTTCAGAACTAGCTTCTCCAAAACCAGCTTCTAATCCACTAGCATACGTAGTTTTATAAGATAAAATAAGATAATCCTTTATTATTTAGTACTTATTTTAATTAAGATAGTAACTATGCTCCCACTAGCTGCGGGATATTGCTATAAATCAAATCACTGAACACAAAAAAATAATCAGATTTAAGGTTGTCCAGGTCCGTATATAGCACGTTTGACGAAATTGTGGACAAACTATGGAGTGATTCATCTCTGATTAAAGAAAATAGACAATCTTTGGTTTTTAATCAGAAAACCTCGCACATGCGCATATACAATAAGAGGTATTCAATTTACATTTTTTTGATTGAGTTGTTCCCATCAGATACAATGCTACTCTTAAAAACTAATATGTTTTCACTGTTTTAGCCAAATTTCCTAGATACTGGACGACATGATAAAATACGCAGGTGCGAAATGGTGGAAATACAGGTCGCGTAGTTTGTCGATTTCAGAGTGGACTCACACAAAATATCGGAACATAACGATGACAATTAAGTACTCCTCGTGGTAATAGACGTGAATCACCGCTCTCAATGCTCTAAACACCGCTCCAGCTGTATTTATAGCGGGTCTGAATCTCGGCTTTAAATCGAAGAATTAAGTATGGGATGGTACACTCTCAAGTTGCTATATTCGTCTTTGGTTGTAGAAACTCAACGGCTCAACTGTCAAAAAAAATGTTAACGGAGGAACCGTGAATTTTAAGCTTACATTTTTTTTAAAGTATACCAGTGGGGTATAAGTTAGCTAGAACGACTATATCAAATTGTGGTTATTGTATTTAATTTATAGTAATGCGTCTCTACCATCTTTGTATACAAGATGATGCTCATCCCGCTACTTCCGGTGTGAACCGGAAGCTGTCTTTCGTTGTTTACATTCTTCGAGGGGTCCAGCTAGCCAACGGGAGATTATAGCAGCTTTTATGGCAGCTTTTTGCAAAATGCCAGTTAACAATTGACCAGGATTATGTATTTATAACCGCTTTCATCTGTATTTCATCTCCGTCGTTCCTTCGGGCCATGGCTTTAGCTCGCTGCTGGTGCCGTCTCTGGGTAACATTACCGCTCGTCCTGCTGCGGTGGCCGGGGCTGCTGGTCGCGGCGGAGCAGGTCGCTCTGGTGGAGGTCTTCCTGGAGCAGCGGCCCGTGGTCAGCGCTCTGCTCCAGGGGGAGGTGGTGGAGGAGTCCGGCAGGAGCTCCGAGGACCGAGAAGAGCTTGAGGGAGAGCTGGTCCTGGTGAGTCGGTCAGAGGACAATCATTTATTTATTATGCATGCATGTCTTTTATTGTTGTTTAGCTGTGTCTGACTGATTTATATATTTCACATACTCTGCATGTTTTTATGTTTTGTGCCTCTGACATGGATGTGTTTTAGTGTCTAACAATGCAGCATAATATATTAACAATACAGCAATATTGTCTTTAGTCCATGTTTCTATTTAACATAGTTATCCCTCATTTTATTTGCTTTGTGTGTGTTGAATTTGAGAGCATCAATTTACATCTCTGCATGTGGAACTCATGATCCTGACAGTAAGAAATAAACAGGAATGTGAGATTTAAAATGTTGTTTATATACTGCGGTTTTTCATTATGATAATTAATCATTTCATCATTTATATATTGCCTGGTATAATGGTTGGCAGCATGCATGCTGTTATTTTCAGGTTTGAATTTAGCTTTTGATTTAATGGAGTGAATTTAGGTGGTTTTGTTTGAAATGAAGGACACTTTCTGAGGAGCCCTTTAGCAAGGCAGCTTTCAGGTCCAAGTGTTCAGCTTGTATTCTGTCCTCAGGTTCAAGAGGACGAGGAGACGCAGGTGAGCGGAGGAAAGGGAGAGGAGGACACCAAGGAGCAGGAGCTGTGGATCGGGGTGGTGCCTCTGGAGGTGGAGGACAACAAAGCCTCCTCCGGAAACCAGGAGTCCTTCACTGACGCCATGGTCAATAAAGTAAGACACTCACCTTACTCTAAAGCTGTCGTGGATTCTGTTCACACTGATGTGGATTCATACGACACTCTTAACGTGCAAACCTCTCTGTTAAAGATGAAGCGAGCGTTGGTCCTCGGAGCGTCTGCGCTCATCATTCTGGCTCTCAACCAAAACACCGTCAGCGAGGTAACCAGCTCTTTTCTCACTTTTCATTTCATCATAGTGATTTAGAAACCCTGGCGTTCACATGCTTTAGGAGTTCTTGCAGTTGTTGTTTTGTGTGTGTTATCAGACACGCCAACATCAGAACAAACTGAATCGAAGGCACTTGATCAAGAAGAGATTATGGATTATATTGAATTTGGCTCGACACATTTTTTTGGGGGGAAATGATAAAAAGCTGGCAGAAAATCTATGCTTAAAAGACACTTTGTCCAGGTCGTATTCAGGACCATAACATCTGTTTCTGTTGTAGATGGATCTGTCTCAGGTGCTGTCGAAGCCCATCATTGTGATCCAGACGTCTGAAAACGTCACCAAGCTGATCGGAGCTCTGCTCAGGTACAGAACACTTTATTATTTATTACTGCCAACAGGGAAACAGATACTTTCACACACATCTTTACCATCATATCACTGCTAAAAAGCAACAAAATACAGTTTGTTTTATGAATCAGCCGAGTTAATATCACGTGTCACGTGCTGCCTCAGGTGAGGATTTCCGCCAACAGATCAAACAAAGCTTTCACTGCATGTCAGTATTCTACACTAGTAACTCAACAGTAACCAGGTTAAGGCAATATTTCAGCTCCAGCTGTGTCCTGTACCTCACTACTCTTTGAAATGTGTCCGTATTAAGTTGAGAGAGTTGTTTACTTACTCTTTGAACGGATATTTCCGGCTTCAAATGATTCATTTTGTATGGCTAGCTACTTGTGTTACCACAGCTTCGATCACACTGGTGGTGAAAAGGTTTGGTTAAATAAAAAAAATAAACATGTTTACGTATATATATGTATGTATATGTATACATATACACACATATTTATACTGTATATACATACATACATACATACACACACATATATATGAATATATATATGAATATATATATGTATGTATTGAACATTGTCAAACAAAAAGCCGGTGTAATAATAACATGATTCAATATTATTATTATTCATGAATCCATAGTGATGGAGAATCTCTATTCGCACTAAATGACAGTTCTCTCTCCACAGGGGTCTTCAAGCGACAGCAAAAATCACATACAAGACGATCCTGCAAGACAACCTGGTGAGCTCCTCAATCTATCCGCTGACTGTGTGATTCTCAGTTGTTAGCACCCTCCAGTGGTGAGTGAACAGATGACAGGCTGAGCTGACAGTGAACGCATGCTGCTGTGTGTCCGGGCAGGGAGCCACGCTCACGCTGTGGTCCAGCTGCGGTCGATCGAGAGGAGGCCGCTACGGAGAGTGGCAGGGGGTCATCTGCACGGGAGAGACCAACTCTCAGGTCCAGGTGGGGGAGCCCGAACGAACATCAGCAATGTTGACATGTTTTCTTAAGGTACCTGTAGACACATTTAAGTGGCCCCAGTGAGAACTTTGTCTCTTTGTCTGATAGATCAGCGTCGGTTGGGTTTGAAGACTACTTTATATTTCCTGAAAATAATCACCAACGCCATAAACTATTAATTAGACAATAATAATACAGATATTTTCTTCATCATGTTTATTTAATTGTGGCAAGCCAACATCTTGTTAGCGAGTAATTGAGCAGCCCTACCAGAAACATATTCTGCGTTGTGTGGTGCTACAGACCGATCCTTCAGAGGAACAGTGAAGGTGATGACGTACTGCTGCTCTTCTCTGTGTACCTGTAGAAGTACCTGCAGCAGCTGTGGGACACGGTCCTCCTGGTGGCTCTGATCCTCAGCACAGGAGTCATTGTTCAGGCTCGCTGGCAGAACCACGAGCATCAGAGGAACGATGACCTGGAGGTAAACACCCTAACAATGGTGGACAGTGACTAGGTTCATTCACTGAGGCACTGTACTTAAGTACAATTTTGAGGTACTCATTACTTTAATATTTAAGTTTTCTGATTCTGATTTCTCCATTCTACATATCTTGTTCTTTTACTTTTGCTGCTTTCAGTGTATTTTGATACTTTTGTACTTTAATCAAGTAAACATTTTTTAACGCCTGCTTTTACACTATTGTACTCTTCTGTATCTGTGAAATACTTTTACTTCACAGGCAGTTCATTTGTACACTGTGGACACAATCTTTGTTAGAAAGTAAAGTGGAGCGTCGAGGGGAACAAATCTCCGGTCCCCGTCTAGATAACATGTTCTGTGGTGTTCTGCTGTGCTGCGTTCTTCAGCTCTTTCCTAAACAGGATGTCCTGAAGAGAATGTTGTCCCTGAAGACCAAAACGTACCGTCAGCCCAAACCGTGGTGTGACCCGTCCCAGCCGGCCGAGACGGACAACTGTGCCGTCTGTCTGGAGCCGTTCAACAACAACCAGGTCGGACAAAACACGCCCACATACACACAAGCTCTGATTTAGACTTGGCTGTATCGATTCCCAGGTTGAGTTCAGTAGAGCAAGCGGTAATATCACGTGAAAAAGACTCTTACTCATGTATATCTTGCCACTGGTTTGGTTTCTCTGCCTTTGTCATGAAAAAGTTAGTGAGACAGACAGTCTGTGTGCAGGACAGGTAATTCTGCAGTGAATGTTGTACGCTGTAACGTGTCCTGTGTTGTGGTCTCAGTGTCTCCGGGTGCTGCCGTGTCGTCATGAGTACCACAGAGACTGTGTCGACCCCTGGCTGCTGCTGCATCACACCTGTCCTTTGTGCAAACGCAGCATCCTCGGTGAGTTCACTTACACATCACTGTCTGTTGACGTTTGATGCACACAAACATCCCTTTGCATATTGACTGTGGTGACCGCTCTACCACTCATTAGGCCCATTGATGAGAAGAACAGCAACGAAGAAGTGGAATTTTATAGACTGTGTCGCATCAGTGAGGTTCTCCAACAGCACCAGAGCAGCTGTCATTACATGTGGCTGCTACTTTTTTAATGACATTTATTATGACATACTATACTGTTCTGGATATTTTATTATGCAAAAGTCATAGCATAGTATGTCATAATGTCAAAGAATTGTAAAAAATGTGACAAAAAACTTGTTGTATATTTATTGTATGTCGTATAGTTTTACATACATAATGTTACAAAACATATTAGTACATTATAAGAACTGATTAATAACTTAGTGTGTCATCAGGAAGTGAATTGATTCATTGTTTCTTCTTCTTCTTCTCTCCAGGCAGCGTTCGCAGAGATAGTTAACGGTCGCCTCGCCTCCATCGCCACTGACGTTCTGTGAAAGTCTCGTCTCTCCCTCAGTGACTCTGACCTTTGACCTTTGTGAACTCGCCGCTTCCTCTTACCGGCTAACGGGATTTAGAAGCAAATATAAACTCATCACAGCAGCTGGTCGGCCAGCTGGACCGTGGAGGGGTCAGACTTTTGACATCTGACCTTTGGGTGGGTGCAACAAAGTCTCACAGACATGCGGCAGTAGCGTGAACACAATACTGTACGAGTACTGTTGTGTGTAAACAGTACTTCTTCCTGGGATCATGTTACTGTACACTTTATTTAAATATGTTTTTATGCGTGATCGAGAGCGGTGAACATGCGACTCTTCACAAAAACAGAGACTTTCAGTTTTTAAAGCTGATAACGTGAGCGAGTCCTCCAGAGTCGCATGTTCCCGCATTCAAAGCTTTACGGTTCAACGTGGGACGTACTGACGCACCAGTCAATGTCACGTTAGGGCCGAACGATGTCAATAACTTATTAACAGAGCTAAAACGTGGTTTTTATCTAGTGTCCAAACTCATAGCTTGCTATTTATTGAGGTTTAATAGTTGTAGTCCAGATGTAACTACAGGTGGTAGCAGATGTGGAAACAATGTTTGCACTTGTCCTTAACATGCCTTACATGACTTCACTGCAGAGTGAGAGAAAACAAACACACCGTATTCATACTTTAGTTGTGAATGTTACAGCAGCTGAAGCAGTTGCAGTTTTAAACTATATTTGAAAGAGATTTCAAACAGGTGGTGAACATTTCAGAGTCAGCTGGACTTCCAGCCTCCTCTGATTATATTTATCTGCTTATTTCCTTTTAGGTCTGTGTGAAGGAAGTCAAAACCAGTTTTAATTTAATATTCAAACAGGTGGTCATCTCATTCATCACGTGAACGTGTCTTCTGACGTACAGCTGCACAGTAATAACCTGAGTGATTAGTTTTGTACTTAAACATCTTGGATCAGGTGCAGTGAAATGTGTGAATCATATTGATGTACAGACATGAGTCTTCTCATCCAACTGTTGGCAAGAAAGCTAATTAGACTTAAAAAAGAAAATTAAACTGTATTTTTACATACAGTAAAATTCTTCAGTGTAAATTGTAGATTTCTGTGCAGCCGTACTCCGAAGCATCTTCATTTTACTGTGAAAGGAAAAAGACATTTTTGCCAGTGACGACTCAACAAACTCCAAGGATGTCAAAAACGAAGTGTTATTGTATTTATTTAATGTTTTCTTTTTTTGCAACATCAACTCCAAGAAGCACTTACATGTGCTTTGTTTTTTTGTTACAAAATGCTCTGATAGATCTGTTCTCTTTATAGAGGATAGTCTGTGCATGGCGACATGTCGGAGGGTTCCTCCTCGCAGCCGGTCTGTAAGAGGCCGTGAGGCGCCTCCGTACAGCACGAGCTACCAAACACCACGTCTGATCTCTGTTACTGAAGGCTGGACAACAGCGGTGGGAGCCTGCTTCGACACGAGCTGCTCATACAGGACGAGTAGTCGTAGTGAGAGACACACAGTCTCCCACTGAGGTCCAGACTTGATCACCAGGTCCGTTCATTGTTCTTCCAGCTACAGAAGGAACCACAGTCTCTCCAAACAAAACACCTGGATGTTGCTTCCTTTTATTCCTATGTTGTCTATTCGATGATGATGTCACAGAAACATCTTAATAGTAAACTGATTTGTTACTTGGCAAAAAATAAAGGTCTTATTCTTTGTCCTCGGTCTCCGGCTCTCACTCAGGACTTTGGTTTTTTTTTAATGAGCTAAGAAAAGAAACTCCTTGAGGCCCGATCCCTAAAAGCAGATATTTAGAGTGTAAACTAAAGCACATCAACAGCTCGACACCTTCTGTGGCTTTTTCCTTCAAGCGAACACGGTGACGTGTTCGTGGGGACAAATTTAAACCAGACCAATCACCCGAGCCCCCGTTGTTCTGTCACTTCACCGACTCAGTCAGTCGCTTTTGTTTCGAGCAGCGGGTCGTCACGCCGGTCACGAGGGGATCATGCCTTTGTTCCTCTTGCGGTCGGCCATGTTGCGGCGGTTGTGGTTTGCCCCGCGGCTCTTGTTGGCCTCCTTCTTGCGTCGGTCCAGGAATGTGTCCAGGTTCTGTCCTTGGCCTTTGGGTTGACCCACCACGCTGCTGGGAGGACGCTGCTCCGGCCGGAAACTGGAAGAGAGTTGAGACGATAAAGAGAAGGCAACAAAAGGTCAGCGGACGTCCTCCAACACCCAAGACATTCTGTACTCTGACTTTTTATTACATAGCAGTCACAGTACAGATACTTTAATGCCGTACTATACTGTGACACTAAAAGCAGATGTTTGGAGTCTCAAACACGTCGAGCTGCTTGTGAACATTATTCTCCTGAAGGAAACGCAGGAGGACAGAGTGAGAGCTTCTCACCCTTTCCTTTGATGCATGGCAGCTCTTCTAGCTTCAGCCCTCTCCCTCAGCAGAGCCGGGTCCTGAACAAACTGGTCCCTGTTCACATTGTTCTGAAATACAATGGATTCACATTGTTAACACATGAAGAACAAAACGTTCATTTAAAAAGACTCCATGAACCTGAAGGATTACAAAGCTTACAGCTGGTAAGATGGTCTAAATGTGCAATTGTAATCTATTACTAATGATGACGTTAAGATAATCAGAAGTTTTTTTTAGCATTTCTGATCATTATTAACATAGTTGTTAATTATAAGCTCACACTTTTACCAGTTTATTATAACAGTTATGTATAAAACACATACATTTTATAAAGGTCTTAGTTTAAACTACGTGCATAATAATCCGGTAGGAGTAAACGGCTACACTGGTTAAAACAAACGAAGTAAATATTTTGCATTCAAATGTTTTTTCTCCGTGATGCTGGATCTCCTGTTTTGGAACGATTCAGTACCTGTAGCGGCTCTTCCTCCTCTTCATCTTCACCCTCCTCCTCCAACTCTGGTTTGTTTCCTTTCCTCAGGATCTGTGGAACTGTGAAAGGCCTGCAAATAAAATGATAACAAGCACTCTGAATAATTAGCATCCACCACAAGAATCACATATTCCAAATTTAAAAAGCATCCTGTCAAAATGAAAAACGTGTCATCATGAACACAGGGCTTAAAGTTCTCCAGCACTGGGTTTGAAATATTAACTTTCATATGATCAGGCACTTCCTGCCTGCTATCTGATCACCCAAACACGTTTTAATTAAAAGTGTGTGTGATTTACCTTCTGCTCAGTAAGCTGTCTCCATCCAGGTCGTTGGCTCCCACTTGGCTCATGTCGTACGTGTCGTCGTACTCGTCGTCGTAGGCGTCCAGGTCGTAGGCTTCGGCACTGGCCCCGGGTTCAATGACGACCTCGTCCACCACCGTCTCGTAGGCCTGGTATCGAGCTTTCTGCTCCGCTATGTGCTGCTTGTCGTTCAGCAGCTCTTGAGGGCTCTCTCCTTTCCTGCAAGAGGAAGACAACAACAAGAAGAAGATTACACCTGAGCTCAGGCAGTCTCACCTGTCCTTCACCGTCTTTACACACAAGTAGATGTACAGTTTGTAAATGGTTTTAAATCAGGTTTTCAAGAGGATCTGAACGTCCTACTTGGCTTCTATTAAACAGTTTGAGCAGGATGTTTATAAGCACGTGAATCAGGTAAATGTCTGAGTCCATAAAAGTAGTCCCGGGCTCTTTACTCCTCCTGTGCGCTCTTACCTCCTGCCCTTCCAGATGCGAGACATGTCCACCTGGTCTCTGCGGAAAACGTCAAACTCATCGTCGTCAAACACGTTGGATCTGACATTCAGAACATCTGGAAGCTCCTCCTTCACTGGCCTGAAGGGACAGAAGAAGAGCGGCGTCAAAGATGGTCGACTCACCCTTAACTTCAGTATTATCCACTCCTTTCATACCACAGATCATCTGTGTAGTATAGCTGCAGCAAAAATGCATTTTCTTTACATTTAAAGCTTCTATTGAGGTTTTCTTATGAAGCTTTGAATGTCTGTCATCATATTTAACGTTAAATATTAACTTTATATGTAAAGGCCATCTGTGTGTGTGTGTTTACCTCGGCATGGCCCGGTCCATCTTGTCCAGGTTGGGGGCCAGCCGGTCCTCCAGGATGTTGTTGATGACCAGCTCAGAGCTGTAGCCGTACTCCTGCAGGCAGGCCAGCAGGAAGCCTTCGCCCAGATCCGGCAGCAGCTCCCTGATACATGA